CCCTGCTACCTAGCCTTCCTTGACCTGGAGAAGGCGTTCGACCGACTACCTCGAACAGTACTATGGAGAGCGCTCAGGGAGCGGAATGTGCCAGAACACCTGATCTCTCTGGTGAAGGACATGTACGATGGGGCGAAGGCAGCTATACGCACCCCACACGGCCTAACGAAGGAAGTGGACATCACGGTTGGGGTTCACCAAGGGTCAGCTCTGAGCCCGTTCCTCTTCCTCCTTACACTAGATGTCATGGTGAGGGGCCTCATGGAAGGACCATTAAAGACGATCCTCTACGCTGACGACATCGCCCTGATAGCGGAAAGCAGAGAAGAACTACAGGGCAAGGTGCAGAAATGGCAGGAAGTGCTGGCAGTAAAGGTGGGCTTCGGCTGAATGTCAAGAAGACCAAGTTCCTGAAAGCTCTGAAGAAGGATTAGAGCCAATCGTAGACGGCCACGGAGTGATCACCGAGCCGAGGCTGAAGTACTTACCTCGGGAGCGATCTGGCAGCCGACGGAAGTGTGGATCAGGCAGTGAAGGCACGAATCAACGCGGCCTGGATGAAGTGGAGGGAGTCCACTGGGATCCTCTGCGATCGAAGGTGCTCCAGAACACTGAAAGGAAAGGTGTATCGGGCAGTGGTGAGGCCTGCGATGCTATACGGCAGCGAGTGCTGGCCCCTGAACAAGAATCACGAAAGGCAGCTCACTCCGCTGAGATGAGGATGCTGAGGTGGGCCTGCGGCTGGACGCGACTGGACAGGGTCAGAAACGAGGATGTCAGAGCGGTCATGCAGACTGCCCCTGTCCAGCTGAAGGTACGGGAACAGCGTCTGCGATGGTATGGGCACGTGCTAAGGAGGCCACAGGACCACCCAATAAGGAAAGCAATGGACTTCGAAGCGCAAGGCAAGCGACCGCGAGGAGCCCCAAAGAAGAGGTGGAAGGACGTAATCAAGAAGGACCTAAGTGAAATCACGGCCACAGCAGGAGATGCCCTAGACAGAGCGAAGTGGCGACGACTGATAAAGACAGCGGACCCTGCGACTGCGCGGGACTAACGCTAGGGAGAAGAAGAAGAAGAAGAAGAGAAGCATAGCCCGTTAATCGTATGGCGCTTTGGAGATGGAAGGTAGATTGTAGGAAGGAGTAGAGGGGTGTAAATGAAGTTGGACTGTTGGAAGAAGGGAATGGAGCGAACAGGTCGTTTTCGTCTGAAATTTTTCCCAGCTTGGTGCCACTGAGTAATGATAACCATCCCTAGTATATATCAAGGTTACTACCTTCGATATGCCCGTGCTTTCTAGATTTTTATGATCCTCTTCATTATAACTGCGTCTCTACCTTCCCTCCAAATGCTTGGTAAGACGACATTCACTTTCAGATGAGCTGGTCAACATAGACGATTTAATTGATTATGTCCTCTATAGAGGTCCGGTGTTCAGCTCTCAGATGAATAGTTTCTCACAAATTGCTGCAATGGGAACCAATTTCTAAACCAAAACGCTGATTTGCGCCTGCTCTGTTGTGAGTGTTGTTTTTTTCGTTCCCATTAAACCTTCCGGCAATCTCATCACAGTTTATTTCAGACCACTTGACACCTTTATACATATGACGTCTAACTCATACCAATCTCGTCGCCTCAACATTGGTGTATATGAAGGCGAATTTGTCTTCAATGTGCTTTATCTAATAGGTGTCGTGCTCGCAATTGGCTTGAACATCAAGTATGTTCGTACTGTTCTCTCATTCATGACTTAAAGGACGAATTTACGATGGAAAAGCAACCCATTCCAAATTGAGGTAGAGATGGTGAGTAGTACCAGAAAGAAAGCGAAACCACGAAAAACGGCCCAGAACCGGAGAAATGGGACCCCTTCCTTGTCCGTTGATTTGAGCATTGATGGGACTCTCATCGCTTTGCCCTCTTCAACCCTACGCTCTCTCAGCTATCTAAATCACTCGCCACCTATTGTACTACGGCGAGTGATCAGACGATCGGTGGGCGGAGATCGCCGAACTCGCCAACTTTGAGCCATGCTAGATCTCAGGTCAAATCTTTCGATGCCGATTGCGTGTCTGTCCGCACCCTCAAGAGATTCACCGCTCTCCCCACTAGGCGATTTCTCCCTTCTTCGACCTTCGTTCTTTCCGTGCAATCCTCCTTTAAGAACCGTAACAAAGGCGGTGGGTACGAGAAAAAGGATATTCACCAGACGGAAGTATGGCTATGTATTATGAAGGAACCATACCCCTAAGAACCCGAATCGTCTGGAAGAGACGAGATAGCAGTATGCGAGAAAGTTGCCGACGCCAGTGAAGACGGCAATCACATCCACGGCGAATCCCTGCTCAGTAGGGGTTCCCGAGTTCATGCTCCAAATAAGGGTCCACCTTTCTGCAATTTGTAATTAGCATTGCACGAGCGCAGTTCGAAGGAACTCTATGGTCTGGAGAGGAACAGCAAACAACGAGGGGGTGAATAAGGATAAGGAAAGGCGAGACGCGACACAGGCACTGTCAACGGTTACCCATCCCAGTCGGAGTCACGGATGAGTGATGAAGTCACCACATAACACCAACCTTAGCGCAATTATAAATTCCGTTCAAGTCGCAAAATCGGCACAACTTCCATAAAGGACCTTCCTAGGATTTCGGTTATGATAAGACTGCAAAATGCGAAAGAACTGCCTATAGGTACTAGTAGTGGAGTGTGCCCTTGAGCTGATAATTCTCGACGAGGTCCTTCCATGTAGTAATTCTTGATTCGCTATAAAATACTACAAAAATGAAGATGTATTTGTATAGGTATGGACGCCGTTTTACCCTTGCACTCACGATATCGATCTCGATTATCAGTCTGATGATAATGATGAGCATTACGTTGGAGGTGTACAATGCATGCTGGAGAGTGAGCACTCCCTATGGTGAGGTTTACCAAGGTTTTTTGATTGTGGAAATCAACCACTCTTCACCACTCCACATTTTGACTTTTGAGGTTTTCGAGCAATGTTAGCTAGTTTGGCGCATGCGTGTGCCGTCATGTGCTCGATCATCATAAAGATAACCGTGCGTCTGGTGAGTCTAATTCTTGAGGTCGTTTTTTTTTGCCAATAGAGTTGAACAATGACAGGTACTTCTTGAACACGTACCGACGTCAGTTCGCTCCTTAGTGCCAGTCGCATTTCTCTACTCTGATGTTATGATTTTGACGTGCAGCAGCTTGGCAGCACTCACAGAGGTTTGCCACGTTTCTTGGTTTGCTCTTGAACTGACTATGCACCTGAGGTGGTATGGTGGCATGTGGCACCACTTACCATGCTCAATAGCCGGGTATCAAAGTCCAGATTGAATCTGTCGTGGTTCGGGAGCGGTTGCCCTCCTAACCCTCCAACACGACGCATCGAGGTGGTTCGGGGCCCTCGTGGCCTTTCCCAGGCACACGTCATCCTACGGGTCCTTCCCGGGGACCATGCTGGTTTCCCGCCAGCATGGCCTCCGCTCCCCGGGGCATCACGGGTTCCTAACCCAGGGAAGGGGGGTTTAAGGGTCGCGGTAAGCGGTAACCCGCGGGGGCAAGGCCCACCGTCGGCCCGGGCTTTCCCAGCCCAAGGGCCGAGGGCTCCCTTGCCCCGGCTAGCACCCCACAACATAACAGCACATGAAAAGCCTACTGCGCCTTAGTCGGGCCCCTGCCCTGGCGCTCCCCAAACTACAACCCTACTACAACAACTACAATTAAACATACTCACATTTATTGGCGGATATTGGCGGCAACAAGTTGACGACCTACTCTTCTCATCTTCTGCCGGGCTTGGAGGTACCAAGCCATCGCGTCGTCCATCCATCGGGTCGTCGGCGGTAAGTGGCGCACTGCTGGCGCCTGCAGCCGGCAGCGTCCATCCGGTGTAGCGGACGCTGGCTTGCCAGCGCTCCGACAGGACGGGACAGTATGCCGGACCATACTGCCGAGTGCCAGTGGCACTCCGAGCCGTCCAGCTTCCTCGCGTTGCCCGGCACAACGCTCCTCCCGGAGGGAGCGAAGTGCGCCGACTGGCAGAGGCGGCTCGCTTAAGTAGTCCCGGCTGGAGGCGGGACCGGAGGCGGAGCATGCCCCTATAGTCGGTGCATGCAACGCCACGGCGCCTGCTGCACAGCAGTGCCCAAGCGCGCGGTGCGCCCGGGACCACAGTCGCGAACCGCGACACGCTAAGACGCACGATAAGTTAGGATATTGAAGAAGGGGAACTGTACCTAGTGAGAAGGCAGATGGGCTCTAGGGTGCGAGGGACGATGCGCGTTCCGCTGGAAGAGCATACGTCGCCGCTAGTAGGGCTCACTCCGCTGGTGCCGCAGCACGCCCATCTATTGTGACTCCAGCCGTTCAGCAGAGAGAGCGTTGGAGTTGATGAGGGCAGCGTATATGAGGTTCGCATCAATGAGTAAATCAACGGGCAAAGGAGGGGTGCCATTTATCGGGTTCTAGCCGCTTTCTGGTCCTCATTCTTAATCACCCGACCACATCTCCTGATTTTGTAAGAACGACTTCTTTTTCATGGTAAGCTCGTGAGAGATGTGACGGTGCCGAGAATGACCCATTTCTTAAGCCCTGGGTCATCACGGAAAAACCGTGATGACCCAGGGCTTAAGAAATGGGTCGTTGACTGGCCCACTGACTTCTGCTTGATGCGACTCTCATCGGTGCTGCCCTCAAAACGCCAAGCGCTATCTCTGCTTGACAGCTAGGGAGCCGCGAGGTCAGCCAGTTCACGGGGGCGTACCGCATCAATAGCGCCGCAGGGATGGCCATGGTAGGTTGCCGGCGCGTACACTGCTCCGAACTGCAGTTCCTCCGCACGCTGAAGGGATTCGTCTGCTTTTCCACTGATAAGTTACCCCTTCTTCGACCTTATCATGGAGCACTCCTTTTATTGACGTCAGACTTTTCTGTGAGGATGAAAATCTTCACTTTCCCAGCATTTTCAATCCATTTAGCAGGCAGAAATGCATTCAAGTCCACACCAATTTGGAGGGAAGGTATTTAGAATCGTGGCACTTCCGCGAGGGACTGATCAGTGCCGATTACTTCACTACTTAGGGTCTTTGAATTGTCTTTGTTCATCAGCTGATCTGGCGACCATGCGGCAACAGCTACTGTCAAGGGGTCCTAAGGTGAAATCTGAATCAAATCTCTTTCAGTACAATAGACAATGCCGTACTTCCGCAGTTATCTAATGACCAAATTTGTTAAAAGCTGGGATTACGTGAGATTCACATACCATACTGGGTGCAGTGATGTGGAGCTACGAAGATCCTACCACTTCGGTTCCATTAAATGGTAGAGCACGAGGTTCATCATAAGAAGGAACTTTATGATAGTACCACAAGATTATTATCTAGTCGTTGGGCTTGTTTCATTTCATCCATTGTCCGTATTCAAACAACAAAGCAGAGGATGGCCCAGAAGCGAGAGGGCCCGTTACCAGGCGCATAGTTCATGCCCAGTAGTGCTTAAACTTCTTGAATGTTCCATCACTTCTGTAAGAATTTATGGGCAATGGGTACATCGAATAGTGGAACCCATTCTCACTAATTATATGTATAGGCACGTACATAATAAAAAGTGGTGATTTGGAGCAATTTTCGTCACTCTCACTGCTGTCATCCCACTTCGTGGTTTTGTGCATCTCCACAAGTAACGCTATCGCTTTGAAATGACAAGGGTCATAACCTTTTCAGGGTCTCTCCGACGCTTATCCAAACGGATCGTACATCTACTCACTGGCGTATACCTTATTTGTGGCACCTTTTGCGCTTCTCCTTGACGATTCCACTTATATGGCTATTAACTCTTCAGAGATTGCAGCTTACACGTGAGAATATACTCGATTAACATGTACTCATACTACCTCACTGTTGTAGTTGAATAGCCCACCATACTGTAAACTTTTTTATACCTTCTTTTGAGCTTCTGGGAGCGGATAGGCATAGTCAGCCGTCGCCTTTGCACTCTTCCAAACGATTTACGACCCCGATCGCAACCACCGAGGAGCGAATATCTCCAAGTGAACGGCATATGTTATAATTGTTTCAGTCTCACGCCCCTTTCGAGACGTTTTGCAAGTGGAAACGCCTTTGCCCACTCCCGCATCCACGACTTTTTCAACATCCACAAATCCCGCCCACCCGTTTGCACTTTTTCGGAAGATGGTTAACTTTAGTTAAAGGCAAAAGTCGGGCTCAATAAGGGGGTATTATGGCGATTGAAACTGAGTATAGAGATGCGAAGTGGAACGACAGTGGAGAAAAAACTGAGAAAAACCGTCGACAAGGCCGTTAACAAAACCCTCTTTCCCACTAGCAGTGAAGGAGGGCTGGCTTGGGAAAGAGGCACGTACAAACAAGTTTTCTGGAGATGTCAGTCGTTCTATCGGTTGATACGGCAATCAACCTAGCTGATTTCACACGTTATGCCAGCCACGCACCACTTCCGGAGGTGGGCGGTCGGAGCGCCGCCAGGCGGCGAAAGCGCTTAATACGTGCCCTGGAGCCTTATTACGGCGCCGTTTGGGATTCTGAGCATGGTAACGTCTCTGTGGGTGCGTAGCCATGCACAAAGACGACAAAAGGGATTGGTTTGGTCCACTAAGCCTGACTCGTGCCTTTAAGCTTGAATCACCCCCCCCCCCTCCCCTTCCTCCCATTCGAGCTATTCGAACGGATGGTTGACTCTGAGTGGACGTATGTGACATCAATTAACATGCGCACCGTCCAGAGCCACGTCTCATGTTGAATCCTGCTCAATTATTCGCATCCTCCTTCTGTGCTTGTTCATCTAAAGGAATCCTTCCCGGAAAATTCTTGCATTCTTTCCAACATGAATATGTCAGTTGTGATCACTAAGAGAACACACAAAGTTTCACGCACAAAGATTCAGTTTCCGAAGAGAAACAAACTACAAAAACCACACTCTATGGACAATCGAAGGTAATCGCGCGGAGCCAAAGGCGGGCATGGAAAGAAGTCCGCCTTGGGGCGGCTACGTATCAGGCGACGCAATGAAAGAATCGGGTTAAAGCGTGCGATTTTGGAGAGTAGAGACAAATCGATCGATAGAATAGGATGCAGTAGAAGTGTGAGATGTGAGATGTTATGCAATAAGTCAAAAGGCCAGAAAGAGTTTCTAGTGACGGCACTCCAAGAACCAAGTGGAAGCATTCCCCGCCAGCATTTGTGACAGATGTCCGGCGGTAATTTGAACGCGTAGCAGCCCTTCGGTTTTTCGAATTTTTTTACCAAAACAAATGCAATTTTTTGTTCTTTTCGTTCTTATCGTGAACGATGGGTCTCAAGCCAGTGATTTTATGGGTGGGATAGAATCATTATTTTTCGGGAAGGATTCCTTTGAAGGCATGGTGCGCAGAAGGTAGCTTTCTTTCCTCGCATTCATGCATCATTAGACGGCGTGCAAAGGAGGGATGGTCCTCAAGTCACCCTTCGAGATGGAAGGTAGAGACATTTCCGTGCATGATGCCTTCAAAATAGGTTCCGGACTTACTCGGAAAAATGAGGTCTGACACAACAATGACTCCCATCTCCCCCTTCCCCCACCCCGCTTCCAAACCACAGCATGAGCCAAACCGCATTCAGATGCCTCTAAGGCTCTGGAGGGAGCCTGAACTTGTGACTTATGGCAAGGATTGGTGGATGCAGAGGTTATGCTTTTTTTCTTGTGTGTTTCGAGTTGCGAGACAAGTTTCCTTGAGTATACAATTTCAGAGTGCCCCCTCGTGAGTTCCCGTCCAATCTTGATCACGGCGATGTTCCATCTGAGCATTTCTCCACACGTATGATGTTGGAAGCATGCGCTGCCGCCGAAGAGGCTAAGAAAGAAGCCAAATCCCAGTCTGGCGACAGAAGCTAAAAACAATGATCTATGACTCCTTATAGCGTTAAC